AGGAGTAAAAGCTCTTTTCTTGAAGGTCCCCAGGTCGTATCGGTCCGGAAAAATCGCCGGTGGTAAACTATTCCACAGAGAGGTTGTACGCGGAAGAAAACTCCTTTTGAAACGTACTGTGGTGGACCGCCAAGCATCCAAATGGTGTGGATAGTATCAGGACGTTTGCCGCGTAGTGCGTTCACGAAATTTGGCGGCTGGGATTAATCCGAACAATTCCTCAAAGCACTCTCCATGATATATGCGAAATAAAATGCAAAGAGATGCAACATCTCTTCGCAGTGCCGGTGAATCGAGCCGATCGGAAAGCACTCGGTCGTCGACGATTCGAGCCGCTATGCGCTGGATGCGGTCAAGTGGAAGGAGCTGGTACTGGGGAGCCCCAGCCCAGAGATGGGAATAGTATTCCATGTGCGGCCGAACCTGCGCCTTGTAAAGTTGCAGGCGATGTGCCGGCATGAAATAGAGTCCCGCTCTGCTGAGCACGCCAAGCTTTTTAGAGGCCAATTTGGCCTTCTCTTCCAAGTGACCACGAAACTGCACGTCACTCGATATGTCAACGTTGAGGATTCCGATACTGGCTGAGGCAACAAGGGCCTTGAAACTGAGGAGATACGACAAAGGGGTTCTTTTTAGCGGTTAACGCGCAAAATTGTTTCTTCTGGGGGTTAAATTGGACTAGATTTAGTCGCCCCCAATCCGAGACTCTGTTCAGCAAGGACTCGACTTCAGACACAAGTTTGTCCCGGCACTCGGAGACGTTTTCCCGAGAAATATTGGCTCGGCCGGTGTAAAGAGCATCACCAGTGCTGTCATCTGCATAGCAATGAATGTTACGGGTTTGCAACATATCATTGATATTGTAACGCTTTCCCCCCCTCTCATAATAATAAATATATTAGATTAAATATAATCAATTCTCCTTTATAATAAAAATTATATATATGTGACTAGGATAAATAAAATATGTTTTGGTCTTTCTAAATGATCTTTCTAAAGGTTTAATAATAGGCCGTTTGTAATATTTTGGCGTGATCGTCTTAGTTAGGACCCTTATTTACGTTGTGTTTGTTTAGTAACTTAGTTCTTTTAGATGTCTTTTGGAAGAATGAATATTCGCTAGAGCAATTGAAAGCTGTTGGTAGTGCCTTATAAGCTAAGTGAACCCCGTTCACGAAGACAGGGCTCGAGAAAGGTTAAGACATAAAACGTCCCAATTCCACTTTTATATCTGGTTTACATTATTAACTTAATATTATTTATCCCTTCCCGCTCGGAAAAGGCTCAAAATATATTTATACAAAATACCCGATACAAGGGCTTCGTCTCCCACATTTATTAAAAAATGTAGGGGGAGGCACACGGCCCCACACACGCCGTGCACGGTGAGCGCCAACCATTTTGATGCACTCCCCCCGAAGGGAACGCCATTTAAGACGCAATACCGCAAGTAGCAGTAAGCATCAATGCAACTATCATACGGATGGCACCCCCCTCACAACACACCCATATGATCCCTATCGACTTTGGTAACAAAGTTTGTATTGTTGTTATATAAAAATTATCACCAACGTATCATAGTAGCACGCTACTAAGACGCCAATGAACAAAACTCCACGTATCATAGCGCTAATGCACTAAGACATGAAGTTGAGTATGCCTGTTACACTTAAAAGTGCTACCAAACACACTCATAATCCCAATTCGAAATATAGACGACGCATAGCTATGCGCTACTACGCCGCCCACAAACGGTATGGCTGTGCGATGTCCACGGAAAGCCGTATTGCTACAACAAACCCGCTTACCACCGGCACTAAGATGTTATTTGTTTACCTCCATCGACCAGAAACACAAGAAAGCGTCGAATCAGGCGCAGCACACCCGCAGATCCATCACAAGACGCAATACCGCAAGTAGCAGTAAGCATCAATGAAACTATCATACGGGTGGCGCCCCCTCACAACACACCCACATGATCCCTATCGACTTTGGTAACAAAGTTTGTATTGTTGTTATATAAAAAATATTACCAACGTATCATAGTAGCACGCTACTAAGACGCCAATGAACAAAACTCCACGTATCATAGCGCTAATGCACGAAGACATGAAGTTGAGTATGCCTGTTACACTTAAAAGTGCTACCAAACACACTCATCATCCCAATCCGAAATATAGACGACGCATCGCTATGCGCTACTACGCCGCCCACAAACGGTATGGGTGTGCGATGTCCACGGGAAAGCCGTATTGCTACAACAAACCCGCTTACCACCGGCACTAAGATGTTAATTGTATACCTCCATCGACCAGAACCACAGGAATGTGTCGAATCAGGCGCAGCGCACCCGCAGATCCATCACAAGACGCAATACCCCAAGTAGCAGTAAGCATCAATGCAACTATCATACGGGTGGCGCCCCCTCACAACACACCCACATGATCCCTATCGACTTTGGTAACAAAGTTTGTATTGTTGTTATATAAAAAATATCACCAACGTATCATAGTAGCACGCTACTAAGACGCCAATGAACAAAACTCCACGTATCACAGCGCTAATGCACGAAGACATGAAGTTGAGTATGCCTGTTACACTTAAAAGTGCTACCAAACACACTCATCATCCCAATCCGAAATATAGAAGACGCATCGCTATGCGCTACTACGCTGCCCACAAACGGTATGGGTGTGCGATGTCCACGGGAAAGCCGTATTGCTACAACAAACCCGCTTACCACCGGCACTAAGATGAATATGTCTAGGACACATCGGTTAGCGAGTCCAAGTTTACCTCGGACCAATTGCTCGCGAAGCAGCACACACGCCACCATAATATTCCTTTTGAAGTCCCTAATAAGGACTAGTCATTTTGCTACAGTACTAGGAGCAGTCGATCACCCGACCACCCCATACAATGCTTATGCATCAAGGAGACCTTCAATAATAATGCTTTTGTATCATAGACCTTACTTTCATAAGTCATTCATATATAGGGTTCGAACCCACAACCCTACTATTGTAATGCATATTAATCATAGAGACCTTCTATAGTATTGCTTTTGTATCATAGACCTTACTTTCATAAGTCATTAATATATAGGGTTCGAACCCACGACCCTACTATTGTAATGCAAATTCATCATGGAGACCTTCTATAGTATTGCTTTTGTATCATAGACCTTACTTTCATAAGTCATTCATATATAGGATTCGAACCCACGACCTTACTATTGTAATGCAAATTCATCATGGAGACCTTCTATAGTATTGCTTTTGTATCATTGAGTTTATTATCATAAGTCCCTAATATGGGACTAGTCATTGTGCTACAGTACTTCAGGCAGTCGGGCTCCCGACCACCCCATATATATGTACAACTGCAGGTATGTATCTCCGGCAGCTCCTCTATACAAGACATCTATAGATGAACTCCTTCCATAACTTAGGAAACTTTTCTTTTGTACGTGAACTCCTTCCACAACTTAGTAAATTTCTTTTATACACGAACTCCTTCAACAACTTAGGAAAATTTTCTTTTATATATGAACTCCTTCCACGACTAAGACAATTTTTAACAAATTTTCTAATTATCTTATAAATGTTATTTATCTTTATTTTTGTAATATTTTCGACTTGTACTTCTATTAATGATCTTATTTTAAATATTTTTTTTTAAGTTTTTAATAAATTTATTTATTATGGAAGACAATATTTTGCCTTTAATTTACTACGTTATTGGTCTAATGTCTGAAATGTATTTATATTAACTTTATGGTTATTAATGTAATTTTATTGTTTAATATATATCTTTTAAGACTATTTTTGACGCCCCTTTATATTGAATTTAATTATTAATAATAATATTGGGCCGTCACAATATGCAGAAGAAACAGCGTTGGCGATAGCACGCAGCCTTGTGGAACACCAGCATTAATAGGTGATGATTAATAGGAGGTAAAAAACCACCTTGATGCTCCGATCTGCAAGAAAGCTGGTGATCCAATCGCACAATTTCTCTGGAAGCCCATAGGAAGGGAGCTTCGAAAGAAGCGCTTTGTGCCAAACCCGATCGAAGGCCTTCGCAATGTCCAAACTAACGGCCAATGCCTCCCCCTTGGACTCTACTGACTCCGCCCATCTGTGAGTTAGGTAGACCAGAAGATCAGCAGCTGACCGACCACGGCGAAAACCGTAATGGCGGTCACTAATCAGCTGGTGATCCTCAAGGTACCTCATGAGCTGGCAGTTTACAATGGACTCCATTGTTTTGGAGAACAAGGAGGTGATGGCGATAGGCCGGTAGTTGGACGGGTCTGAGCGGTCGCCTTTTTTTAGGGATCGGGTGGACGAAAGCCGTCTTCCATGATTTTGGGACTACGCCTAGGGAGTAGGAGCACCGGAAAAGACGCGTTAAAACCGGTGCCAACTCTGGAGCACACGTCCTCAGCACAATTGGGGGGATTCCGTCAGGCCCACTCGACTTGTGGATGTCCAGGGAGAGGAGTGCTTTGCAAACCGAGCGCTGTGTGAACTGCACTTCCGGCACTACTAGTTCTACTATACAAAGTGATCAACTAATTCTATTATACAAATATAAGCTCTACACTATTATTTTCTTAACATAAAATGCTTACATCCTTTTTTATGTGTAACTCTAAACTATAATCTTTATTAATATAACATAAACGCTTATATCCTATTTAAGTACAAACTCTAAACTATAATATTTATTCCATTAATATAAAAATGTTTGCCTTATTTATGTATTATCCTATTTGTTTTCACTTGTCCCGCACAATTGTTTTTCAACCCCGTAGGTATATTGCGGACGACTTAAATACCATTCTTAAAGCGTTATTGCCCCAAAATTATTACAAATTCGTATCAAATGAGTTACACTCCAGGCCAAAAGCCAGCGTAATAGAGCTTATTCTATGTACTCTGCTTACAGCTAGAAACCGGTCTGTCGACTTTAGGAATGAAAGGCAGACTCACTTCTATTATGCTTCGGTATAGATGGCGTATCCTCTGATTTTAAGGTTTTCCTCGGCATATTCATTATCAGCTTTAGAGAATTGGTCGATAGGCCGATAGCGACCAACAATATTTGAATTGTCATATTAGTTTCCACAAATTTCGTCAACATATTGTAACCTACAACGAAAACCAGCATCCGGGATGTTGTGAGGATCCCTGAAAAAAAAGGTAGACATAAAAATGTTGATTTATGTCAAACAAGAGAATGTTTTCGTGTTTTTTTTTATAGCATTGAGTGACAAACGAGCACACAGTCCCCCTGATGGTAAGTGGATGCTGTGGCCCATAGACATCCACATTTATACCAAATTAATAATCAGAATGCAAATGCGTTGTCACCCCTATGGAATAAGGTGAAATGCCTCGATTCCAGTAAAAAGGGTCTCCGGTTCTCTACACTCACTATACGAAACAGAGCGGCAATACGATGCTATTTTACGCTGGTATTCCGTGAGAGTATGGTCCTGCCCCGGTTGAGCCGACCCATTCATCCTACAACTATAATATAGCTGCAGCGTGACTCTACTGTAAAAAAAACTGTCTAACAGTGAATGTATAAAATAAAATACTATCATTAGATCTATTTTGAAGAAATTAATATTTCTACTGTTGCATCCAATTTCATTTTGAATTCATTAAAAGTTTACTGCTGAACACAGGTCTCCCCTATAGGTTGCCTTGTAATTGTAGGAAGGTGTTAAATGAAAAGGAGACGTGTTACTCTTGTTACGAGTTTAATTATATTGCTCTTTATTACACACTTAACTCTAATATATAACTATATCGTTTGAGTTCCAACACTACAGCACAGCCTCATAGGAGTCATTTTATCATAGTTGCCACTTAACCGCAGTTTTTTTATTATTACGGGTCGTTGTCAGTTCGACGACGAGTATGTTTACCTGGGACAAACTTCGACCGAGAGGTCTATCGACGGATTCTACTCGGCTGGAAATTACGATATCTTCTCGTCAAGTATATTTCAAAACCAGAAAACGAGATTGTAAAAGCAGTGAGTGTTGTCAGTGATGACTTATGGATCTGAGACTTGTGACTTGACTCAAGGTCGCTCAGCGAGTTATGAAGAGGACTATGCTCGGGGCTTTTATGCGTGATAAATTTAGGAATGAGGATATCCACAGTAAATAATAAGCTGAAGCGGCAAAGGGGCCGGCCATATAACTCGAAGAACCGATAACCGATGAGGAAAAAAGGTTCTCGAGTGGCAGCCTCGTACCGGCAGGCGAAGCGTAGGGCGTCACCCCACTAGATGGAGTGACGACCTGGTAAGACATGCAGAAAGTCGATGGATGCAGGTGGCTCAACACCGTGCTTTGTGGCAATCCTTGGGGGAGGCCTATGTTCAGCAGTGGACTTGTGAAGAGCTGTAATGATAATGATGATGATGAATTATCAAAATGCAAATTGCAGATGCGGTATCATGAGGACTAAAATAGATCTCTCGTGACCAGTCAATAGCGTATGCATGCCTATTGGAAGTCCGTAGTCTCTGCTTCTGGGTGGAAGGCGGTATCGTGTTTATGTTATTTATGTGAATTTATTGTAATAATTTATCATCATCGTTATCATTTATCTTGAGACCCACCTTAGTTTTTAGGGTCACCAGCTTTCGATTTGCCTAATAAAAAAATTATATGTTAAATCTATTTACAATTTATCGTTATATATAATTTTTCTGTCCGTGTGTGACTAAATTATTTCTAAACGTCTTGACCGATTTTGATGAAATTTTGTGTTTGTAATTAAGTTGATTCAAGAATGGTTTATATTCATAATTGGACCCGATAGGTGGCGCTGTTGTCGAGATCCAGAAAACACCCGTGCCAAGATTCAAATAAAATGACACATTTTCATAAAATGACACATTTTCATAAAATGACACATATTCATAAAATGACACATTTTTAAAAATTATAACAGTTTGGTTTGGTCGAGCTAGTAGATGAGTTTGTATAATGATTTCTTATATTTACGCCAACGCTACACATTGATTAAAACTACTCTTATGGATTATATCGCGTTTAATTTTACTTTAATTAAAAAATCATAAGTAAGTGCTTTCCAGCACCCATTGTCACGGGGGACTGAGATGACTGACGTCAGTACAGAGTACCTTCAGCTTTTTTAATTATTGTTTATGGTCCACCATAAAAACCGTAGACAGAGAAACCTATAGACTAATAATTAGCGTGGCCGACCATAAAAAATAATTAAAGTAAAATTAAACGCGATATAAACCGTAAAAGTAGTTTTAATCAATGAGTTTGTATATTTAGGATGTGTATTTAGCGGGGATGGGAGATATGATAAGGATATAGCGTTCTATACGAGTGAACGCAGGAAATAGAGTAAATGGGGCTCTACACTCTATTGTGGAAAGTCAGAATGTGTCAAAAAAGGCACGTATGGCAATTCACAATGCTGTGTTAATCCCTACTTTAGGGTATTGTAGTGAGGGGTGCGAAGTCAGAAGTCCTCCACGTGTGCCTGGTAGTTGCGGGTCCCTCTCGATACGTCTGGAGGGAAGAGCAGCAACTGGGCCGGTGCACCCTGGGCGCGGCGGTAATCTTCCTCGAGAAATGAGAAGAAATTCTTATTCCTTGGGGAATGTTGCTGCCGCTGCTAATTATTCTGACATGGGGGGGCTGTCAGCAGCGTGAAGGGGCCCGTAAGGGCCAACGCCTGCCGGGGCTGCGGGCTGTTCGAAAGAGATACCGCGGCTCCGGAACGTAAGGGTACTGAAGGAACACGGATGGTTTTTAGTCAGTAAAAGTCTGACACTCCCTTACGCTCCACCCAGAGCGAAAGGGGTCATTAGATGATTTTCCATCCGCAAAAAAAAAAAAAAAGGGTATTGTAGTGAAAGTTGGGTATAGCAGAAGAAGCACGAGAGTAAAATAAACACAGTAGGAACGCGGTCGTTGAGGAGTATGTTAGGGTTGAATTCGAGTTGCAGAGTGAGATATTGTGAGGAAGAGTGTGGTTTGCAAGATGGTATTGTGACCAGGATTAGGAAAGAGTGATAAAGCAAATTTATGTTGGAGAAGTGAACGGCAGAGTCGAAAAGCGACGTACAAGGCGAAAGTTTATAGAAAAATGGGCCATATGCCTAACCCTCACAGGGTTCTCCTTCACCACCGAGCACGTGGTAAATTAGCACCTAAAATAACAATTACCAATTTCTTTGGAAGCAGCGGCGAATATTCTTCGGCGGCGATCGAACCCGGGTTTCGCGCGTACTATTAAATTTACAGCGGGCGCATCTGTGCTAAAATGGCTCCCATGTAAGATATATTATAATAAAAAACCACTTACCAAAATGCAAGGCCATTTTAGAAGGTGCGTGCTCATCAATGTAAGCAATCCCGTGAGAGAAGACGATAAGTCTCGTTACACCAAAGAAGATGAACGTTAATATAATAATGAGCAGTCTTAGTGGAATGTTGGGGCCACCGCTGATATCCGGAGACATTATGGCCCCGTCGCAAAACTCTGTAATGATTGGGAATAATACCTTACTCTTATATTGAATGCGGATCAATTAAAATTCTAACTTTTTTTTTCAATTTTGAAAATATAATCTTTTATTTATAGAATAAGGCATGACTTTGTGGAAATCCGTTATATCAAAAATTTAAAAAAAATCTATTAGCTAAGATCCACGAAATAAAATAAAATTATGTGTCTTACCTTGCTTGAAGAACACCTCCCACCCTTAGCGGTCAGCCACAGCTGAGTCTACTTCACCTGAAGATGCCTCGTGAAGAGGCGAAACACGTGTCGTATTATCGACGTTGGTGTCTTTCTTAGTGTAGTGGTGATGGGATTAGTGCGAGGGCGGGAGGTGCTTTTCAAACTAGGTAAGCCGCATAATTTTTTTTACGCGGATCTTTGTAAATTAGCCTTAACATCTTTAATATACTCTTTAATGACCATGGTCACGGGGGGGGACTGAGATGTTTGACGTCCCAATGTCATAGTTAATCCGACTACCTTCAGTTTTTTTAATATTAATTTTTGGTCCGATTTACGCAAAACGAGCTTATAGTATCATGAAATCTTGCAGTGACATGCTTGGGTTTGGTTTTAATTTTGTTAATTATAGGATCCCAAGCAGATGGTAGCACCCAACCATCTTCTCTATTGAAATTTGGATGTTTTTTAATTTCAATAGCCTCGCATATTATCCTTCCCGGAGCGTCGGTCTGCAGTCTGCGAACATGTTCAAGATCGTCCCCACCATTACATTAGATTTGATAAACCACAAATTCTCGCAAAAGAACACCGATTCCTACCAAGGATAATACGCGAGGCTATTGAAATTAAAAAACATCCAAATTTCAATAGAGAAGATGGTTGGGTGCTACCATCTGCTTGGGATTCTATAATTAACAAAATTAAACCCAAACCCAAGCATACCACTGCAAGACTTCATGATACTATAAGCTCGTTTTGCGTAAATCGGACCAAAAATTAATATTAAAAAAACTGAAGGTAGCCGGACTAACTATGACATTGGGACGTCAAACATCTCAGTCTCCCCTGTGACCATGGGTGCTGTAAAGCACCCGAAACGTCGGGATAATAATAAAAATAAATTAAAGTAATTAAACGCGATAAAATCCGTAAATAATAGTTTTATTCAATCTTATACGTTCTTAAGTTACACGTTCAGTTTGCCATCAGTTCAGTCCATCGGTTTGGTTATACTGACGCCGAACTGATCAACTAATAGACGGACTGATTGAATGATTGGATCAGACAGACGAATTTTTAAATATTTTGATAACTTTCATCACATTTACCGTCAAACTGATGTTCAGTCTCGCATCGTTCAACGCTTGGACAGCTATGTAGTCACATGAAAACGCTATGATACCGCAAGCAAACAGTCCTTGCCTTTGCCACCCGCAATACCAATTAATAATTGAAGTAGAAAAATGTTAGAAAGGAAAAAACTTTGGCAAGCATAAACCATATTAACCATGTATATTTTGTAAGTTAGAGAAACCGTGAACAATAAAAAAATCATCCACAAAAAAACATACATTCGAACTATTAACCTCATTCTTTTTTAGAAGTCGGCTATAAAGAAGGTTACATTTAAGACCCTCAACTGAAATCAGCTTCGTAAATTATTTAAAAAAGGTACCTACCAACACCTTCACTTCTCATATGCACCTTCGGTAGAGCAAACCACAGAAATGTGAAGACTCCGGTTGCTAAGCACGCCACTGCCATCATGATTCTCCGTCTATTTTGCCCGACCCAACCAATAAAAGGTGCAACTGTTGTCTCCAGTACTGCTAGGAGTACAATAAATAAATCTGCAAGATAATAATTGTTTAGTGTTTATTATTTACTATCATAGGCGTTATTGATATAATCAAATCACACTAATTTAATCAACTTTTCTTTTTATTATCTCTACCTGTTGAAAGACTGTTGTTTTTATACGTGATAGAACCACGCTGCAGTTATATTATGGTTGTAGCAATAATAGCTCGGCTCGACTGGGAAAGGACCACGCTCTCACAGAATACCAGCGTAAAATAGCAGCTTAATATTGCTGTGTTTGGTATGGTGAGGTTAGACATCCGGAGAGACCCTTTTTTACTGGAAACGAGGTATTCCATCTTAGTCTTCAGGGGTGAAGACGCATCTACATTTTGATTCGTAATCGAGAAAAGATGTAGATGTCTATCCACAGCATCCACTAACATCAGATGGACTGTGTACTCATTTGTCACCATTATTCTATAAAAAAAGACAAAATTTTTAATAACTGTTATTTATTTCTTAATAGCATTCACATAACCCTTGAGCTTAACAAAAGCCAGTTATTTCAACCTTACAAATAAACATGGAATTTACACGTAATTTTTTTACGTGGTAAAGCCACGCTGCATCTATATTACGGTTGTATCACGAATGGGTCGGCTCGACCGGGGAAAGGCTACGCTCTTACAGAATACCAGCATAAAATAGCATCTTAATGCTGCTGTGTTTTGTATGTTGAGTGTAAATAAGTGTAGAGAACTGGAGACATTTTGTACTTTAAACGAGGCATTCTATCTTAGTCCTCAGGGGTGAAAATGCATCTGCATTTTGATACTTAATCTATGATGGATGTGAATGTCATTGGGCTACATCATTCACTTACCGTCAGTTAGACTGTGTGGTCGTTTGTCACGTTATTCTATAAAAAAAACTATGGAATATATCGACTCTTAGAGGACCTTTGATATGCTATGGTGAATGGATGTTTAAACTCCCTACCAGTCATGTAAGGCGGAATTTCCCCAGCGGTCACGTCCTGTCTGAGCAATCTGTACGCACAAATTTCCCCGAGCGTCGCCGACATGATAGCTCCCATCAGACATCCTCTAACTTTATCCGCTACTACTTCAGTGCTGAAAAACCAGTTCTTGAATCTTGCATTCACTGAAAATTAAAATAAATCGAATTAATAATATAACATGTTTTCAAGGTTTGCGGTGAAGTTGATCAAAAGGTGTTGTGCAAAACACTTTGAATATCCGTTGCCGTTACAAACCTATTAAAGTCTACTGCTAAACATAAGCCTCCCCCATAGATTCCCTCATAGGGGGAATATTTGTCATAGTTGCCACGCTTGGCAAGCGAGTTGGCAACTGCAGTTTTTTATTTTTAGTCGTTACTAGGAAGACCCTGCTATCCATCTCCTATTTTGTTTTCCTCTGTTTTTACGACACTCACGGCCAACCCGGATGATATGGGGGTATTTCCATTAAAGTTATTGCATCTGTAATAGATACAATAGCACCTTATCTAGCCACTATTTTTAATACAAGCGTCGAAACTGCTGTGTTTTCTAATTTAATGAAACATAGTTCATCGAATAAAACTACTATTTACGGATTTTATCGCGTTTAATTACTTTAATTTATTTTTATTATCCCGACGTTTCGGGTGCTTTACAGCACTCATGGTCACGGGGGGGGGGGGGTGAGATGTTTGACGTCCCAATGTCATAGTTAGTCCGACTACCTTTAATTTTTGAATATTAATTTTTGGTCCAATTTACGCAAAACGAGCTTATATCATGAAGTCTTGCAGTGGTATGCTTGGGTTTGGGTTTAATTTTGTTAATTATAGGATCCCAAGCAGCAGTCAGCACCCATCCATCTTCTCTATTGAAATTTGGATGTTTTTTAATTTCAATAGCCTCGCGTATCATCCTTGGTAAGAATCGGTGTTTTTTTGCGAGGATATGTGGTTTATCAAATTGAATGTAATGGTGGGGACGATCTTGAACATGTTCGCAGACTGCAGACTTCCCGGAGCGTCGGTGCTTCACGTCACGTTCTAGGACGTCTGCGGTCTGCGAACATGTTCAAGATCGTCCCCACCATTACATTCGATTTGATAAACCACATATCCTCGGAAAAGACCACCGATTCCTACCAAGGATGATAAGGATAATGTTATGTTATTTTTTCCATAGTTTGTTCTTACGGCAGGTAACACAAAATTGCTGGCTCGGCGGGTTATATATTTGTTTATTTGACTTTTTGTTGTGAATGTTACGTGTGAGTGAATAAGCTTGTGAGTTATCTTGTAGATAAGTAGACATGTATTATACGTAAAAAGTTGTTTAATATTTAATTTTTTTGTGTTTTTGTAAATCGTTTTCGATGGTGTTAAGAAGTCATATTTGTGTAAGATTTTAATTATTTTATTTTGTAATATTTGTATTGGTTTTAAATTACTTTTAGCTGCAGTACCCCATATTTCGATTTGATACAGTAAGTGAGGCTTTACCAACGTATTGTATATTTAAATTCGAGCATGTTTCGGTATATATCGAACTATTTTATGCAGTGCGCCCACAAGTGAGGAGAGTTTGTTGTGAATATATTGCAAGTGAGCTTTCCATATAATGTTTTTGTCCAGTGTTAAGCCTAGGTATTTTTTTTTTGTTAACTTGTTGTAATATCTCACCGTTAATGCTAAGTTTAAGTCGATCAGGTATTTTTCTATTTTTGGAACTAAATATTATGTATGAAGTTTTAGAAGTATTAATTGGTAATAGATAGTAGAGGTCCATTGAAATTGTACAATGTTGGAGCACCATGGGAGAGGATAACTCTTGATGTTGCGGGGCGGTTTCAGAAAGTTGCAAAAGGTTCTCCTAGGATCGTCCATGTGGATCGACTGGCGCGTTATTATGGGGCCAATAATGCTCGGGACGAGCATGTCTTAGGAGGGGGCAGTGTTACGCGTCATAATTAATGCCGGGTAAATGCTACTATCGCCATTTAGTATCGAAAAACAGAACTAGGAGAGCTTTCTAGAAAATTTCTTGCTAGAACTTTCGACATTCTCCTCGAACATTCTAGATGTATTCAGTACAAGAGGTCCTATGTGAGACTGGTATTGACCGCAACCCGGGAGTATTGAATTGGCAATACAAGTGAATACTTAAAAGCGATATAATTGTGAACTTAAGTATGAATAAATATGTTCATAATTCAAACACTTGAAACAAACATAAGCTTGTAATAATACCAGGTTCACTCCACAGTATTAGTAATTCATTTATGGGGCGATGTATACGCTTTTACAACAAAATCCCAGAAAATGTAAAAAATTTGTCAACAAACAAGTTTAAATGAATAAAAGAAAATTGTATATAAAGGAATATTATAATACCATACAATATATGCTTGTTCTATTAAAATTCATTAAAATTGCACAAACAAAATTATTGTAAAGTGAAATATGTTTAAGAAAATCCCGCTGAGTTTCTTGCTGGGTTTTGCCAAGACAAGGTAAGGTTTTCCGAACCAGTGGTAAGTAAAAAAATCACTTTCGATAAGTATTATGTACTAATCCATATTGAAAAAAAATCTTAATTTTTAATTGAGGATAGATGTAGATGTCTATGGGCCACTGCATCCACTTACCATCAGGTAGACTGTATGCACGTATGCCACCCTTATACTATAAAAAAAAAATTAAACTTTTTTCCTCTTTGGTCTAAAACAGATAAACAATTTATAAAAAAAGGAAAAATAAAATATATATAGGTACCTTTGGAAAAATCGGGAATCCATGTAAGACGCATTGTCTTCTAAAAAGGCGCTTCGTTTTTGTCTTGAATTAATTTAAAGTCTTGAATTGTTTGATATTAATTCTAAAATTTCTTATCTTCTTTCGTTCATTTAAGTAAATATAAATTGATAAATACCAGACATTCACAGCAGATTAAATATATAAATATTTTTGTTTACATAATTTATCATACGTAAGGCCTTTTTTAAAGATAATTTCCGCGTTATACACTTGGCCGCTGGAACAATAACAAAAAAACCGTCGAGTAACTAGTTTATATTAGTTAAGATTAGATAAAAGGACCTTGAGCATACGGCCCAACCGATTAGTAAGTTAAAGTGGTAGTGGGCCGGCCATATAGCTCGAATAACCTACAACCGATGGGGAAAAAAGGTTCTCGAGCGGCAATCTTGTACTGGTAAGCAAAGTGTTCGGCCCCCACCAGATGGAGGGAAGACATACTAAGACACGCAGGAAGTCGATGGATGCAGGTGGTTCAGTGCCGTGCTTTGTGGCATTCCTTGGGAAATGCCTATGTGTGAACATACAGTAGAACAGTAGACTTGTGTAATGATGATGAGATAAAAATATGTACAGAAGTCGCGTGTCAATTGTTTTTATCACAAGTTGAAGTTCGTCATTCGTAGCAAAATGGAATTACCACGAAAAAAAATTAATCTTCAGATAATTATACATGAATTTAAAAATTCACTCTTTCCGCAAGATTGCACTGCTCGTCTTCAAAATACTTTTGGGAGGGAAGCATTTGAGCATCGTAGGGCGTTGGTACGCTAAATTTATTCGTAGCCACGTGAATCCTGAGATTCGGAATATTCGGTTGATTCTCTTGGCGAAATTTATTTATAAAGATTGTCCGAGACTAAACAGTGATTCCCGTAGCGCGTCACAGGACTACGTACATCCCTAGTGAAATGTTCTAGAGAGAGGCGTGCCTCCGCGGCTCCGCGCCGCGTCGTCTAGTCGGCTAGTAGCGCTTCGAACGTAGTTGCGGAAGATTGCGCCGCTCGTTGGTCCAGGACGAAATTCAGTGTTGCCGTTTTAGCGACTTTCTCGCTAGATCTAGCGGATTTTAACAATGTTTAGCGGATAAAAAAGATCGTTTTAGCGAGAAATAATTATTTAGCGATTTCTAGCGACATTTGGACTTTTGAGATGGCGATTTTTATAAAGTAATTCATTTCAAATAAGTCATTTATCTTATGCCCAATTTTGGAATCTTCCGTTGGTAACACTGTATATATAATATAATTTCACGGGAATTCCCGAACATAAACTAACAATTCAATATCGTTCATTCACTTTCATCTGTTTCGACATACAAAAATGCAGCAGGAGTAAACATATTCGAAGATTTATGTAATTTTGCAATGATAATATTATCACTACTGCATTCAAATGTGGAATTTGAACGCGTATTTGGTGCTATGAATGTAGTTAAAAGCAAACTGCGAAACAAGTTTATCAGAAAAAACTTTTAAATTCCATTCTTCTGATTAGAAATCAGTTAAGGATTAAGAAAACAGAATTGCGCAACGTATTATATTCCTGAAGATGTTGTCAACCAAGTCGGTAAAGGCAAACCAAAGATGGGAACTGGAGACATTGGCGAAGCTTCAACTTCCGCTGAAGTTCTTTTTGAAGATCTGGATCCATACTTCGCTGTAAATTTTGAAATTTATGTACAAGAACGTACTGAGTTAATTGTTTTATTTTTTAATAAGATGACTAATATTTAAACGTGGTTTAAAGATAAAAGATTTATTTTTTTACAATATTTTATTATTATGTACATGAATAATTTTTGTTTTGGTTGTCATGCCATTAACCTGCACTATAAATAACTGATTTATATGAAATAGAGTCCGCTCTTTTTAAGGTTTTTCTGAATTTATAGATTTAGATTTTCAGTATTCATTGTAAACCATTTGGCAAGATTTTTCAGTTAGCCCAATGGTAGCACGAAAATATACCTAGGGACATCTAGCGGATTTTAAGAAAAAGAAAAATCCTGTTTCTGGCGCATTTTTTCTTTTAGTCTAGGGACTTTAAAATTTGTAGAACGGCAACCCTGACGAAATTACGAAGGTAAAGATATGATTCCCCAGCTTTTGTTTCGCTAGGTCATTGATTACCCTGACCACGTTTAAAAATGTAATTTGAGTTTTAAGGATTTGTTGTCGGGTGTTAATGGAACTGCTTGAATGATTATTATGTATTTATTTCATTGTTATTATTTAAAAAGTATTGTTTTTATCAGAA